AGCCATAAATGAACAGTACCACAAAAATCAACCTTTCCAGCACGAGTAGAGAAGTAAAGTTTCTCAAGTTTTTGATGCTGCTGCAGTTCTGTGTCATCATTTACGGCAGTTTCTGAACCCCCAAGTCCACCAGCAAACTGTTTGAGCACAGCCTGGAGCCAACTCATACAAGAAAATGCAAGGGAGAAATATTTATGAGCAAACTTTTGAAGAAATTAACAACTAGAAAACAATGCTAACAGAACAACTTCCAGTCGCACATTCAAAAAAATAAAAGAAAAAAGGAAAAACAAAACAGTAGAATTGGCACATTACTTATCCACCATATGCATGCATATCAATTCACAAACACAGAGAAACTGGAAAAATAATCACTCCAATAGGACATAACCTCTTTCACCACTCACCAAAGGGGACCTGAGATATCAAGAGCTTTATTCCTCCACCTGACAAGTTGTAATTAAGTACTAAAGGATATCTAATTATATTCGCTTACTCATCAAAGTAAAAACTCAACAGACTTGTTTCAACAAGTGCATGCTCATAAAGAATCCACATAAAGGAGCTTATAGGTGTAATGTATGCAACTCCATGAGTAGCAATATTTTCCACCCAAAAAGAGTAGCAGAGCAAACGAAGATCCAAGGAACGCTAGGAGCAAGACAAATTATAATCCCGCAAATCAAATAAAGGGTCCTGTTCATAAACTAAGGCGAACCAGCCAATATTATAGCTCTAAAAAGATCAAGTTTTTCCTCCTTATACTACCACTGACAGATCATTAATACTCATGAATTTCGTTTCCAGTCTAAAATGGAAGAATAAAACACAACTCCAAATGCAATTACACAACGATATGAAGATAATACAAGGGCTGAAGATATTAGAAACAACCACTAGAATGAAGTCCAAAGCTTTCAATGTCACAAAAAACCACAAAAAAAAAAAAAGAAGCCGAACCCCAAAATGAAAAGAAAAACAGAAAAGGTCCTACCTAACCAGAAACAAGAATACCACCATCTTGACAGTAAAAGCATTTAGTAAAAATCTATAGCTGGTAGGCATAATTTTAACAAAAAAAAAAAAAGAATCAAATTAGGGCTTATGGGGTGTGGGGGCAGGGGTACCTGCTGTTGTTTGGCGACTTGTTCCCTGAGCTTGGTTGCCTGTTTCCTAATAGCTTCCATTTCACCACCATCAAACCACCACCACCACCGCCACCTTCCACATTAACTTTGGTGTTGTGTGTATACTTTATACTACAAATCCACGTAAATGCCAAGTAGAGAGAGAGAGAGAGTTTGAGCTATAGTGAGGGAAGAAAAAGCGGAGAGACAAAAAGAAGGCTTGGGAGTTTGAAACGTGTCGGAACTCGGAACTGAGCTTTGAGCGATACCACACACATTCGGACCTGGGAGGCTTTTGAATTTGTTTGGACTTCGGACTTGAGATTTTGCTTTAGTTAACGTTGTTTGACCTCTAGGCTCTATCTACTTTCCCTTTTTCTTTTTCCTTTTTTTTTTGGTCTTTTTGGACCCTGAGCTGTTCCAATTATAATACTAGTGTAGTATTTGTCATGGTACTCAGTCACCAACGCAATGGTACTCTGCCTTTGGAACCAATAAAATTGTAGCTGTTTAATTATTTATTTAATTTCTGTGGACTGCGAAGATGACAAATAATTTAATTATATATATATATATTAGGGCCAATAGTCAAGAAACCTTGGCCCTTGGCCGTTTTTCTATCCCGAGTTAATATGAAACAATGCCAAAGATGAGTAATTTGCAAGCAATTTTGTAAAGTTGAATGCTTTCTAGGAGGTGTATATGACAATGGTCCCAAGAAGTCCTCTATATTCAGAACCGTCACCCCCCCCCCCCCCAACAAGAAGTCCGACTTCTTTTGATTTGGATCGAACCATGCGCCTCATCCTGTGCATGTTACTCTGTTTCTGTGGCCAACACAATGCTTCTGCCTCACTCATGAAGTGAGGTCGTGAGGTATAAAAGAAAGTATTGAACATCGACCCCAAAAGCCAATGAATCCTCTCCTGCCCGCATCAATCATGATAAGCTTCCAAAATAAAGTGCAGATGTTCTTAGAATGCATTCATTTGCCAGCATCTCTCTTTTTCTCTCTCAATGATCACTGCTTACGGGAAATAATCATCGGGTAGTATTCTGTTTCCCTCTGAAAAGAATATCTTGCAGGCTTTAAAGCCGCCCCAAAATGCTTGGTCCTCTTTTGAATTTGTGGTCTCTTTATCGTGCTTCCCAATGATTTGAGCTTCATCCATACACAAGGATACTGCAGATTGGACGTTCCTAAAATGGAGAACCATGGCAAGAGGCAGCACTGATATGTAAAGGAATTACCAACATTAATTAATTAAGCCACCACAAATGTAGATGACACATTTGCCACCATGCAGATTGACAAATCTGAAACAATTCATAGCAGTAATACGACACATTTGCCACCATGCATGCAAAGCATTTTGTGAAGTAGTGCATCACAAAGTAAGTTGTAAAGCCAATTAATGCATCAAATCCCCAGTTTATAGCAGTATATTTCTTTCATTTTCTCTAAAAGTGTGCAAGTATGTTTTTTGGCAGACAATACAAGGCAAGAATAGGGATACAATACAATTAAGAACAACCAATGCAAAGTCAAGGAGCACAACCATTACACAAAACAACTATAGTAGATGATAACTGCAACCTCATTTGGTTTACTAAGAGCACATTACCGACTAAAACTCGTATAGACACAACTTAAAACAGCCCTCGTTTCAAACTCATCTCAAAAAAGCAGATGTGGAGAAAATTAGAACGGAGAATAATCTAGCGTCTACAATGAGCCTTGCACATATTTTTGCAGTCATAGAAACAAGGTCCGCCACAATGAAGAGGACAATCCAGTCTCATGCCTTGACACCTTCCCTCCGTCGTGCATTGCGCAAATTCCCCTATCTTATAGTATTGGTTCGCAGGCACATTCTTCCTGTGTGCATGGCCTTGGTGCTCTCGCCCGTTGTACTTTTTTTGTGATCTCCACATCCCCACCCCCACCAACCTCCCCCGCCCCCGCCCCATCCCCAGCCACCACCTCCTCCCATAGCACCCGCACCCCACCACCACCACACCACAGTAGCTCCCCCTCCTCCCCTCCTCCACCTCCTCCTCCACCACCACCTCCATAATTTCGCTTTTCATTGTACTTGACGACAACATCATTGTAAGTTTTGTTCATTCTGTGTGCCTCTTGACCACTTCCTTGTGGAAGCTTAGCTGAAGTTTGTGAAGTCACATTGGTTTGAGCTAGAGTAGTGCTAATTCCATCTTGTTCCTCACCTCTTATTGACACCATCACAATCAAAGCTAGGAATAAAAAGCGCTCGAACCTTTTCTCGTCATCTCCATTAATGCTTTCACTACTATTACCCCTGAAAAGATGTTGTAAAACTCTTTTGTTGCTCTCCCGATTATATATAGGACAGGTACTAAAGTACACACCGACTGCTAAATGGTAAGCCAACCTAACAAACGTTCACCAAATACTGCCCACCAACAAACAGTTAGGCGGAAAGATGGCTTCATTTGAACTTTTGTCCCCACCTTGAAGCAGTTCACGCTTGGAACCGATTAGTGTGCTAACACAGGTTAATAAGGCGGTAACTGGCACGCATGCGAACGTTCTGCAGGTTTCAGCTCAGCTATCCCATCCTCAAAGGACCTCATAATTGTTGCCTGTCCTACATATTGGAAAGATACAAGGACATGAAGATTTTAAAGCATAAAAGTACGTAGTTCTTGTTTACTGTAGAATGCAAGTAACTACAACTTGCATGTGGAAGAAGTATTCTTGTTGGGACCTTAGATGGTGGCTTCACATGAATCTTGGATGGTGACAATCTTGAACTTGAAATATTCTTGTTGTATAGTAGCATGCTCATGATTGATGATACATAATACATTACGTTGTTGTTGGTTACTAACTTTTTATTTTTATTTTTTTAAAATCAGATGAGTGTATTGTAATCCAATCGAGAAATACATACTATTCCCTCACTGCACAGTGCACCCAGCGATCGTACGCTCAAGATGGAAGGAAGGATGCCAACTTGACCAAACGCCACCAGAAGCTTGCCATCAAACCAGTCCCACAATTTTTTCGGTAATGAAGTTCCTAAATTGTTTCAAAGCCTAAGCATGCAATTCTGCATATAACATAGTAGTAACCGACTCTCCATATTCCAGCTTGAGATTTGCATTTACCGCTGTTAAAGCTGTTTTGATGGTTCTCCTACTTTTCGCTCAAAGCCCCTTCTCCAAAGAGTGAATTGGAAAGGAAGCTCTACGCATGCTTGCTTTTTGCGGAACGCCATTGCTGCCTTGAGGCATTTTGACTGCAACCGTAGAGCAATGCCGCTTTGTTAACACTCTAATGATAGAATTTTCCGGAGATTCATATGTTTAAAACTTCAATTTGCACCCTTAATTTGTACTAATTTATAGTAGTAATCTTTCCATACGGCTATCGTCACATGTTTCACAATCAAGAGTTATTTTTGCTACAATATCAACTGACAGAACGAAATTAATTAGTTAACACAAGAACTTTCCCAAGTACCTACCACCGGGGCTGGCTTTGGCGTAGAACTGCGTGGTTTACATGTAATCATTTATTTATTAGTCGACCAGATTTCAACCTTCTATTTGCATGATATAGGATCTAATTTAATCCTATGCAAAATCCGTTGTAGTCTAGTTGGTTAGGATACTCGGCTCTCACCGAGAGACCCGGGTTCGAGTCCCGGCAACGGAATTTTTTCAAATTTTTTTTTAATTTTCCTTCCTCACTGACTAATTTCCAACGCGAGGTGCACGTGCTTCGGTTTTGGCAAATTTTAGGGTTTTAGCCACCCAAAAAAATTCCGTCCATTGTCAAATCGTCTTTACTAGTTCTTCTTCTTCTTATTTCACCTTTGCTTCGGCAGATTTTCATCTATGTATTTTATTTTAATTCTTAATTATCTTCGCCTACTAAATTATCTATCAGTATGGGAAAAAATAAATTCATCGACAAGAAAAAATCGGCGACGTTCCAGTTACTCGCCCGGGATACTTCGGATGCGAACTACTCATCCGGACTCTCTAGTGACCGAGTTTTCGTGAGAGTCGACAATAATCAGTACAAAGTTGCGGCTTTTCTGAGGATGAGGACCAGCAACGACGGCGTTCGTTTGATGACCCAAATTCAGTATTCGACGACGCGCCGGAGGACTATTACGAGTGCGGATACCCTGGGAATGGAGCTCGGACGGGGTCGTCGTTGCCGGACCATGTAAGGAGGGAGATACTTGAGCTAGGTTTCGGACGATGGATACAATTATCTGATGCATTTGAGGGAGATAAAGAATTCCGGCGGCGGTTCTGTTTATTATCAGAATCCCAAAGCTCAGCTTGGTCATCTTCCTCCCGATGTTAAGGTTTGTTAAGCTTGAGACTCTTCATCTTTATTTATACTATGTACAATATTAAGGATTTTAGCCTAAATAGGACTATATAGCTTAGAACTCGGCTTACATTTTGTTATATTGACAAATTTCTAGCCTTCATTGTGGCCAATTGTTAATCTTGCAGAGATAGTTATTACGCTTGTGTTCATTTAGATAATATTCTACTGAAGAGCTCAGAGTTCTGTGTCTGACCCAGCTGAGCTCAAGTTGATTTTGCGTCGGCTTGATTTAATTTGGTTTATGTATCCCTAGATTTCAAGATTTATGCTAATCGAGCAGACTGGACTACCTTCAAAAGTTAACATAAACTTAATTTGTTCGGGGAGGATTGAGTTTATCAGTCAATTTTAAATGTCCGCTTACTCAGTTTAGCTCAATGCTAATACCGTGTAGATAGGACAGAGAATAGTAGTAATTCGGTTTCTTTTGATTAGTAAATGAGTAAGGCATATGCTTATGGATAATTACCAAGAAGTGTTGTTTCGAATTGACGTTGACTTCTAATGGTGATATTAATTGTGTGTTGTATGTGTTTTGTTCTGTCAGCCTCATATGTAATTTGTTTGTTGTAGGCCTATAATGCATCAAGGCTAGAAATTTCAAGAGTGGAGGATGAGTCCAATGAGAAGTCTATGTATGCTGTTGCATCCAAAACTCTAAATGCAAAAGTTGAGAAAGTGGCTGATGATGACATTGCAGCATTACTATATGACAGTGATTTGTCACAGTTTGGCTCTGATAGAGAGGACTTGGAAGAGGACTTTGTGGTCAAAGCAAACCTTCTAGAAGGACCATCTGACCTGGAACTTGGTAAAAAGCTGAGATTGCTAGAGACGCGCAGGTTAATAGGGTAGAAAGGAATGATTTGGTTGTCTCTGGTGCAGAGAAACTGTCGCAGGATCTGTTACTGTTGAAAATGAGAAGCCAAGGGTTCGCCGTCCTTTAGATGAGCAGTTTGACTTGGTAAGAATTTTTTTTTAACATATTGACCTTTATTTCTTTCCTAATATTTTAGAACAAAAGCTTCAATTTTGTTTCAAATCCTTAGTATGAGTCAAGTATTCAGCATTGTTGCACTCGATTTCTGTTCTTGTTAGAAAAGGGATGCAAACTTTGATAATGACAGAAAAACAGAAGTACAAACCATATAAAAAATTTTATAAAGAACGGAAACCAAATGTCTGCCAAAATTGGGTATCTTATAGATTCAATTCTCATATAGTGTCATTTGGTACAGCTTGAACTTCAGGAATATGGTGCAGACAGTGATGGTGATTATGGTGTTTATGATGACGCTGAAGAAGATGCTTGTGAAGAATCCCTCGCTGAGAAGCTTAATCATGCATTAAAACCGTCATCTTGATGGCTTAAATAGTAAATATGCAGTTCCTTCTGATCTCTTGGAAGAGAAGAAGGATTGGAGGATCTGGAGTCACCAGAATCTGCTGCAGATGTCATCCAAAGGTGCAGAGAATATGCTGAAAATATGAAAATGAAAGTGAAGATGAAAAGGAGGTGGTTTTTCAGGAAAGTAGTGATGAATCAGAGGTTGGGATTGCGAGACTATAGTTTCAACATATTCAAATCTTGATAATCACCCTGGGAAGATCGGAGCTCCAGAAACGAGAAAGAAGAAGCTAGCTGAAACCTTTGCTGCAACGTTGAGTTCTCCAGGACATATAATAGCTCTTAAAGGCAAACAGAAGCTTCCTGTAGACTTTTTGCCCACTAGAAAATCTTCTACAGATATGGTGAGGATATGAATGGTCTGAGACCTGAGCAACCTCAGAGGAAACAACGTGGTCAAGAGACAAAGGAGGAAAAGAAAGAAAGAAAGGTATCTGTTATGCTGCTCTCTTTTTTTTTTTTTTTTGACAATGATTGGTTTTGAAGTGGAACCATTGCTTACACCAAATATTTTTGGTTGAACCTCTTTTTTCTCTTGACATTGTAGTTTTATTCTCAAGACAAGTACCATAAATATTTTCCAGAAGTGGTGCTCATGGGCTGAAAATTGATATTTGTGTCTTAATTAATCTGGCAATCTTCCATGATGTCCTAACTACTATTGAATTTACTTGATGTGTTGCTATGCGTCTTAAGTGTTTTCCTTTCAGGTTTGAGTGACATTTTTACAGTTCCCCCCAAATTTTCCTATTGTCATTGATGTATAATGGTTACAGGCTGCTGTCAAAGAAGAACGACGTGAGGCACGTCGTGTGAAAAAAGAATTGAAGGGGGTTTACAAGTATGAAGCAAATCGTGCTCAGAAGGTTGCTGCTGTTGCTGGTCCATCTTTGGTTCATCTAATGTGAGTATGTATGATGTGATCATACTTCAAAGTTCAGTACACTGCACAGGAGTCCCTTGATATCTGCTTTTCACCTATGCTGATTTATTGGAACTTGCCTCACATTCATTGATGTATCTGAAATTTGTTGAGTCCAGCTGTACTTAGCTAGTTCTCTGTAGTTTGAAATCATCAAAATGCATTTTGCAACTGTGCATTGTCCTTAGTATCAATGTGATGTTCGTCATTGCAAGTGCAACTTTTTTGTTACAAAATTACATTTGGAATTTGAATCATATAATCTCCTGTCCCCAGTACACGTTTTGGGTTAAAGTCCAGAGACCAACATTTTGCTAATCCAACCTTTATTTTGTCCCGTGCTTTGGTGTTCATTTCGATTAATAATGCTTCTTTTAGGGAGTGCCTTGTCTGTTGACTGATACTAATTACTAATCATCTGTTTCTTTGATGTTTCCAATAGGTAATATGGTTGCGGATCATAGAAGACACTATGGTACTTCACCAGGATGTTTCTGCTCTCAAGTTTCTGGTAGTAGCTGATATTACTGGCTCAAATTGGCTAGCGTAGTCTAACATGCAGCTGGGATTGTATTGCTCTGACGCTTTGGTGTTTCAGGCTCTATGCTTTTTAGAGTGAGGAAAAAAAAGAAAAATAGAAGGAAAGCATATACACTATTTGTTAGAAATACAGTCTAGCGTGATCGGTATTCTGGAAAAAAAAAATGATCAGTTGAGTTGTTTGGCATTACTGTACATTTTTGGACGACACGCCAGCGAAAATATTTTTTTTGAACTAAGGTATGATTCCAATGTCAATTGCCGTATACCTAAGAGATCAAAATGGTTTAAGAATATATGGTCTCAAAGATGCAAGTAACTTTTGAAGAAAGTCCCCAGTTTGCTTTTGCATCAAGTGGGATCCCAGGGTTTTGCTAAGTTTATCAGGATTTTGTTTGTATGACGATAAATTCTGTATTTTTGTTAGTAGTGTAGATTCATAGAGATACACTCCCAAGTTTTCCGGCAATAAGTTCTAAGATTCAATATTTTGATAGCCTCAGGGAACGGATGCCCCTTTTTGTGAATTGGATGTTCTGCAACTCTTTAATTGTGTCTTTTGCTGTCAAATTCCAAATGCAGCTACGGTAACGTTTGTTTTGTTTGTTTCCTTGGAATTGCTTCAATGGACATAAATTTGAAGAAAAGCTCAGAGACTTTTATAACATGTGGATGAGCAGTTAAGTCAAAGTGTGAAGACAGCAGACACCGCTCACATTTTCTTAATCATACTGTGGTATAGTAATTCCACAATAGGAGGAGACAATGAAATGCCCTCTACTAAAATTTTCCAATTTGCCCGGATAGGAGTGACTTTAGCTACCTGTAGTTAACATGACACGGCAAATATGTCAGATGATTTGATTCGAACCTTTCATAATACCCCACGTAAAGGTGGCAACATAAAATGGAGAAGTAGATAGAGCCGAATTGCCGAAGATCAGTGAGGTGAGGACTGCAGTTTGAGCCCCTGACCACCATCATAACAGGCACAGCATAGGCCGAATGGGGAAGGGAGCTTCTGCTGCTGCGGCCGAATGAGGAAAGGTAACTTCTGGAACTGCATGAGGAATGGGATCACTGCTTCCTCCCCCGAAATACGGTGTTGGAACCCAATTGCCATAATCTTCCTCTATTGGATCATCAGGAATTGGAGTCTGGCTTTGTAGCTGCACCTCCTGTTCTTCAGCAGAGGCGACTGATGCTGGGGAGGAGAATGGTGCTTCTGCTTCTGCTGAGACTGTGAACAAGGATGGGGCTCTTGCATCGGCAGCTGCCCTTGTCATCAGCAATATCATCAGCAGCGCCAAGCGCATGATCAACTCACAATCGCGTTCGCCATATCCAACTTGATTCGATACTCTCTGATCACGCTGAATTAGTTTTTAGCAATATAAGCAGTGCTGGCTTGCTTCTTGATAATCTCAGAAATCACCTTTTTTTGGAGTATGTACTCTTTGTTAGCAAACAATCCTCGCAATCTCGTTAATTTATGCCGTATTATCTGGAGGATGCTACGAGCACAAGGACAAGTTTGGCACACAACGTTTGAGGTTGGATAATACTTGTTGCATGCCATGCGTGTATGACATAATCATGGTTCTTGCATGTACAAGGTTTTTAGAGATGAGACAGCTCATGTCGTCGCAGAACGGACAACTTCCTACTTTTGGAGTTTCGTAGGTTCATCCAAATGCGGAGAGGAAATTAAGTGGAAATGAAGTAAAATTCGCTAAAATTAGAGTTTTACTTCAAACCAAATATTAAACCTTTCTTTATATTGTTAAAAAAAAAAAAAAAAAAGAAATCCTCCTATTGCCTCGACGAATGATTAAAAGTTTTAAATATGATTCCTAAAAAAATTGTTGCATTTCAACCATACAAATGCGTAGTACTGTGCCTAATTAGTTACATCAAAACTTTAAATTACTTGGGAGGGGTTATTATAGCGGTGTAAATTACACGTCCAAGAACATTAACATGTTAGAGCCTGAAAACAGAAAACTCCTCTTACTCGGAACTTATCTTTTCGACCAGGCAACCAAGACAACCATAACCGGCCAAGAATTTCTCAAGCGCAATGTGGTTTAGTTATAATTCAGCATTTATAGGTAAACAAAATGAGTTGCAGCATATAAAGTAATTAAAAAGATGGAACCTGTCAGATATGGATGATGATGATGATAATGCAGCTTGAGGCATATGGTGGATCATAACTTGAACACAAAAGGTAATACCAAGAAGTTAGGAACAGACAAATCCAAACGTATATGTTACCAAATATCCAATACCGCAGAGAAGAAGACGGCGTGTCGTGCAGAATCCTTGCAATGAAAGGTGAAGATATAAAGCAATGGAGAAGTATCAAATGGCGAATCATCCAAGAGCCAGCAAACATTTTCACTCATAGCTCATATGATCTGTTCATCTTATTCATCCAGACCTCTTTCTGCGATATAATGATTTCTCCAATTCTGTTATTCAGACTCTACTGGATTCATTTGATGTTTTTTCCCTATCACGCACGCTGCACGCATTACTTACCTTCGCTCACTTAATTTTATGATCTTTTATTCCATAATAAATGGATACGTTTGGTCTTAATAAAGTTAGTACTCGTACAAAGCATCACATGTGTATGTGTGATTTCACACATAAATTTCCTTTACCTGGGCACCCTGTTCAATAGGTTGGGGAGTGTAATTAACTGCTCAGATAGGATACGAACAGAAACAACCCAAATTCATCTATTCTCAGCAAATCCCCCTATGCGTGACTGCAACTTTTATGACCTGTACCATGAAAATGCAGTGTTTATTTGGATGTCTGATATCAGTCCCGTTTTCTGACATCGTGAAATGCGCAACACAATGAAACATTGACAATGAAATCAGCTCTCACCAGTGATAATCAACCTCTTTGCATTCTGCAGTGAATTCTGTACACAATTAATATCCCGTAATACAATCCAACTCAGCTCAGTGAATGTGATCTTTACACGGAAAACCTTAGTTGAGAGAAATGTCATGTACCTAGGAGTAGTCAGCTACAGCCAATACAGCAACAGGACAACCAAGAAAAAGAAAGAAGAAAAGGGAGAGAGAGGAGAACCTTTACAGTGACTGCCACAAAGTGAAGAATACAGAGGTACCAGTGACCTCATAGGAATTTATTGTACAAGGCCAAAAAGCTCACTAAATACATTCAAGTGCTAAGCAATTCACACTGAACAAATCATCTACATCAAGCCTGCAAAATCACCCAAAAACTAAACCTTGCTAGCTAGGTACAGCAGGGGGGGAACTCTTAGAATGCCAATTGAACCATAGGCACTTATCCTTCACTGCTTCAGCTTCACTAACGTACTCTTTGAATCTGTATCTTCTTGCTTGCATGCTGGGGGAACTTTCCCCTCACTGTAACATTGACTGCAGAGGCTGAAGTGTGATTTCATCTCCTTAAAGCGGGACCCAATGATAGGATATCTACAAGTTGCACAAATATGCCTGCCATGGCGATTTCTGTCCCCGATTTCTAGCTTCAGCAGAGTAGACATGATACCAAAACCCCAGTCTTGATCATCAAACATTGCAAGGAACTCAGTCAGAGAAACCGGTGATGTATCCATTTCTCCGTGTATTTCCAGCATTTCACTGACACCTTGAGAAGGAATGTAGATGGCCCTCAAGAGCTTGATGTACCTTTGAGCATCACTTTTTCTTATCTGGGTGCTACCTTCATTGACAGGCCGCCACAGCAGTGCATCATATGCCACCCGCTTCCGCCTCTCTGCAGGACCTCCACAAAGAGGGGCAGCAACGGCAAAAAACAAGCCCAAATCCACCCTGCCTGACTCAGATTCATCCAGAACAGAGAGGATTTTCTGGTTTATTGCCTTAACAGCTCCCACAAAGGTGTCAGGCTTCAAAAAACTCAGTAATTTGCGGAGAATCTCCTCTAGTGCAGCCTTGCGTATGGATTTTTCAGGCAAACCACCGCCAGAGTAGGACACTGGTACATCGTTGTCATTCATTTGCTTCTTTATCAGTTCCACATCACATCGATTCAGTCTGGTAATCTTCTGAAAAGCTCTAATATCAAGCGAGTTTGCTAATTCTGGCCTCAATGTAGTTCTCTCCCCACAGTCTTGAACTTCGAGGGTTCCACAGTTATATAAACCTCCTCCCCAGTACCACTTCCATTCCCCTTCAACCTCTTCTTCTGGAGCTGCTTCAAGTGAGCTACTGCATCATGCAATTCAACCCTGTTTGTCATTTTCAAAGCTTCTTTCAAAGCTTTCTTAGCTTCCTCAGTTTCACCAGCTCCCAGCAACGACACTGCCTTATTCAGCTGTGCTTTCCAATGATTCGGCCAAACAGCCAATACCCTGGTATACATTTCAGAAGCTCTTGGATACCTACCCATATCCATGTATAGCCCACCTAA